TTAAAATTTAATTAAAGCAAAAAAATGTTTTTCATTGTCATCTGGTTGTATATTTTGAGGGTTTATTGTTTGTCTGGAATACTCTTTTTATGTATTTTATGTGTTTAATTTTATTTAAAATTAAATATTTACAAAATATAGCAAGAAATCAGGGGATGTTAAATGGCTTGATATGAAAATTAAACAACTTTTTATGTTGTTTTTGTTAAAGAAATTATTTTAAATATTTAAAAATCCAAGAAACTTATTAACAAAGATTCTTGAGGTAAGTTAGGTTATCTAATGCTTTGATTTCTTTTTTAAAATATTTATTTTAAAGTTTTTTATTAGTTAATTTTGGGCTTTTAAAGCTTAGAATTGGTTGTTTATTAAAATAATTATTCTAACTTAAACTTAAACAGTTTAAGGCCTAATGAACTAATCATTTAGGGTACTTAAAGCTTTGATTTTCTTTATTCAAATATTTTGTTTAAAGTTTAATTTAGTTTAGTTTTATGATCTTTGAAACTTTAAGTTTGATTTCTGTATTAAACTATTCAGCTTAGGTTCTAATTTTTGGTTAATTTGGGGTCTTTAGAGTCTCTTTCTCTTCATTAAACTATTCAGTTTAAGGCTTAATTTAGTTTACTTAAAGTTTTCTGTATTAAACTATTTAGCTTAGGTTCTAATTTTTAGTTAATTTGGGGTCTTTAAAGTCTCATTTTCTTTATAAAAATATTTATTTGAAGTCTTAATTAAGTTAATGCAGGGTATTTAGAGAACTTAAAGTTTTCTTTTCTTTTCATCAAATTATTTATAACATTTGTTTATATTGTTTACTGTTTGCTTTGGCATTTATTTTATTTTTTTATTTTATTTGCATTGTCTGACAAATTCGACATTGGCTGGCTTCCAGCTCTGTCCAAAATATCCATGAAAACATTGCATTTTATATATATATATATATTACTATATAGATTTTTTACTATCATATATGTTGGCCCTGTTTTTTGTGCCTTCTACGACGTGTTCGTTGCCATCAAAATTGCATTTTCTGCCATTGAAATTGCCTGTTAGATGGATGACTAAAAAAAAATAAAAACTTCGTATGTGTTTTTTAAAATTAATTCATTTGGACTAATTTCATTTCCATTTGCATGATACATTTAACATGTTTTTCGTAATTCTTTATTATTATTTTTTTTGAAGACTTTTGCAAATTGAATTGAATTTAATTATAGATAAATACGTGGCAGGCGTCGATTTTGTGTTTCTTGCAAAAATAATTCAATTAAAAGTGTTCTTTTATTTTAATTTGATTTGTTTTTCCGAGTAAACAAACAGCCATCATCCAGGCAGCCCAAAGAAATGGCAAAACAAAAAATAGCATAATTGAAAAATCATAAAAAAAGAGGGGAGAAAAATGGGGGAGGTAGAAGAGAAAAAAAAACGTCAATACAAATAGCATTCAATTCGTGGAGCAAAAATGTCAAACATTGTACCAAATGTCAATTAAACATTCGACCAGGAGAGGAGCCCCAAAGAACAAATAGATGGGTTAACACTGAGAAGGGGGGGTGGTAGGTGAAACAACCCCCCGCCCAGTCAACAATCAAAATCAAATTGATTTTTAATTAATTTTCGCCACATTTTTTCTCTCTTTTTTGCCTTTGCCCGTCTGGCTGTTGCTGCTGGGAAAGAAAACAAAAAAAATAAAAATGTGAGAAGTGATTGAAGTAAATGAATGAGAATTGCTCTGAATTGGTTGACCAAGTGGGTGGTTGGGTGGCGGGGTTCTTGTCTTGTCAACTATTATAAATTCAATTTAGATATGCGATTCGATGAATGCCAACCAGGGCAGCAGTGATGGACCATTGGGTGGGAGGACAAATGAGAATGCTGACTGCTGGGGTGGGCCAGCTGATGAATAGCGGGAATAAAAATTGGAAAATGATAGTTAAATATGAAATGAAAAATGTTCATGCACTGGAATTTATACATTTTTATGGCTATTTTGAAAACAATTTAAGGGGAAATACATTTTAGAAAGATATCAAAACGTTTTTTAGTAAGGAAAAACATGATTAAAAAGTCTCTTAAAAATCTCATTAAATGTTATAAAATTCTAAAAGCTACAACATGGGAAAAATACTTTCCTGTTTTTGGTCTAAATCTTCCCTAACATATTTTCCACATTTTCCACCTTTTATTTATCACATCACCTTTTCAAAATATATATTCTAAAACAAAATATTTGTTTTTCCCACAAACCACAAATACAGAGTAATCCCTATCTAAGCTTCTGGCCAAAGCCAATGCAACCAACAAACCAATTTTTATGTAACACTTTTTTGGTCATAACCAACAACTGTTCGGGGTAAAAATAAAATCGTTGGATATTTCGTATTTATTTGAGGATGTTATTCAATTACCTGACAACCCTGCCAGCCGGAGGCAACCACTCGACTCCACCGTCATCGACTGACACACTTGAAACTTGAATGTGCAACACCACGCCCCTCGTTTGATACGTACAACGCCTCCGCCCCCTTTTCAGTCGTATCTGGTTTGGTACTTCACTTTAGTGTGAATTGCAAATGAAATGCATTGTGGGTGAGGAAGGGCAATGCAGGCCAAAAGGTATATATCCATGGATATATATATATATATATATATAGAAACACGCATGCAGGCGTTGACTTAACGTTATCGATAGGCCCTTGACAGGCTAAACGAATTTATTTTGCAAAACAAAACGCGTCGAAATCGTTTTGTAGTTCAGAAGGAAATTTATAGAGTAAGGTGGAAAATGAAATATGTCAGGTGAAAAGAGGAATTTAGAACAAAAAGATATTGGGAAATGGTTGCTATGGATTTTGGAAAACTAGTTTGCAGACTTTATGTACGATTTATGTAAACTTTAAATTGAAATTTGTGATTATCGAAAACTCGAAAATTGAGTCAAGTTATTTTTAATGAAAAATCGTTTATTTATAAAAGGGTAAAAGATGAAAAATGTCAGGGAGAAATGGAATTTAGAGTGAAAAATTTAAAGAAAATGGTTTCCATAAACTTCAATAAATGTATTTTACAAAAATTTCTTAGAGATTTTTCTTAGTAGAAGGATGAGATGGTTTTTTACGTTTTATGCCAATTTCAAAAATCCAAATTAAAATTGTTTATAAAATAAATGATCTTAATTTCTTAATATAGCTTTCTAAATAACTTTGAAACCATTAAACCCTTATCTATTAGGTAGTTTTAATGAGAGCTAGGAAAAGTTTGAGTCTATCAATGCATTTTCTGGAAGAGTATAGCTCTATGAGTATATAGAAAGTTATCTGTCATGTAAAATCAGAATTTGGGATATTCATTTATTTACTTTTTACATTCATTTTTCATTCTTTTATCTTTCCCAAACATTTCTTTATTAACTGAAGTTCATTGATATTGAGGATTGCCAGTTTAACTTCCTATAATAGTTAGTAACTTTAGATTTATAATACCCAACCTATAAAGAAGGATAAAATGTAATATTTAAGGTAAAAATGATGTTTCCAAATGGGTTTTTATTAAATCTTAACAATCCTTTTATAAGATATGTAGGTTACTGATACTTAAATCGATCAATTCAAGTTCCTATAAGATAGCCAGAAGTAACTTACCACCCATTAATACCCAACCCTCTTAAAGAGTATCCCAAAAAGGTGTTAGAAAAATCCTTTTAGCCAAAGGTATTCGTTTTTAATTAACTACCTTCTCTGCGAGAACATGCAATTTAAGACTTAGTAGCTAATTGCTAAAACATAAGACGGAAAACTTCAACGAAACTAATCTGGGTATTATGCTACCTCTTCTTCTTACTAACTCTTCTTCTTCTTTCTAGCCCATTAAAAAGTATAAAATCTGCAGAGTTTACGAGAAAAAGACAGGGTTATTAAGTAAGAAAGAGAGGTCCTAAGACCCGAAGCTGGCCAAAATGCAGTTAGGCAGGTCGTGGTAGTGACTTGAAAATATTTTTAGGCCAAGAACCCGATCACGCTAATGATGATGATAATGATGATGCTTGATCATCATTATGATCTCATATGGTTTTTGTTGCCATACGAACGTAATTCGTGCGGTTAACGAACTCCCAATCAAAGTGGTTTGACTGGAATACAAAAAACAAAAGAGAGGGCAGCTCAAAAATCAGAGAGAGATAGAGCTTGACTGGCAGCTTTTTTGAATGTCATTGCCGGGGTTTCGCAAGACTCAGAGAGATCACTAATGCCTCTATCTCTCTCTCTCTTTATCTGCATAATTTTCTTGGGAGACAAGCTTTGATCTTGGTCTTCTTCTTTCTCTGTGCTAATTTCTCATGTGCTTCGTGCAATGAACTTGTGAGCTAGAAAAAAAAGTTAAAAAAAAAGCAACAACAACAAGAAATGGCAGGGAAAATAATATAACCAAACAAACAGAATTACAAACACAATCACGTGAGAGCAACAAGAAACTACCGCTTAATTACCGATGCGGATGCCATGTTGCTGCAACATGTTTATGGCAACAAGTTGTTGCCGCTGTCGGTTCAGATTTGTGCTAAATGCAGTTCTTGCACTTGGACAAAAATATCTGAAAAATAATAAACTAGGTTGTTCTATAAAATTGTTGATAAAGTAAGTTAATAACTTAAATATTTATTTAAACTATTTTTATTAACAAATTAGGAGTAATGTTATTAAGAAGTTATAATAAAAAAATTATAAAAAAAAAAATTTTTAAATCTTCATTTTTCAAGCCAAATAAGTCTTTAAAATTAGACTATAATTCCTCAAAACCATAAAAACCTTACATAATACAACATTTTGTAATAAATTAACATCAATTTTATATTTACAATTTTTGATTTGAATTTTTTTCACTTCAATTAAAAAGGAAAACCAGTTTCTATAGCTGTAAAAGCCAAGAAACAGTTACAAGTACAAGTAGCATAAGATATTCATTGCACTGCACTAAACTCTTCATGAACCGTTAGATTCTTCTAAGCTAGCTAGTTGGCTAGCTGGGACGACAGGAAAAAGGAAGAATGTTGTCTTGTGACCATTTGGGTGAATGTGCCTGACAATGGCCAAGAGGATAATGATGTTGCTGATGGATATTCCATTTATTGCCAACAATTTTCCAGTTTTCATAAAAGGAAGAAGAGGCCTACCTATCTCTACCGCATCACACCATCTCCCTTACTCACTGGTTCTTTTCGTGCGTGAAATCGGCTTTGCTTGTTAGCCAGAGTATTACGTGTTGTTGTTGTTTTTTGTGCTTTTCTTTTTTCTTTTTTCTTTTTTTTTCACACTCAAAAAGCTGAAGCTTTGATGTTGCGAGATACGAACCTTACTTAATTTGTAATTTAGTGCGCTCCAGGTTTTTGGACTTTTTTTTGCTGTTGTTGTTGCTGATCTGTTTTGTATTTGTTGGCCTGCTGCCTGCTGCCTGCACCCCCCTCCGTGTTTTAGCTTTTCCTACCAACATTTCTCGGTTCTCGGCTTAATTTGTTTAGTCACACTTTGTTGAAGAAGTCAACAAACTCCGCATGGGTTTGCTTAATATATAATACTCTCAACTCAACTCAACTCAGCCCAGCGTTCGACGCAGTCAACGAAACTTTTTTTCGTTGCTTGGTTTATGATCATTAAAATGCTTACAAGGCGTCTGAAACTTGTCATCCAGTTGTGTATAATTAATGAAGCTCATTTTGGTTAGAATCGCTGCTGGCTTCTACCCTTTGCTTTTAACTTTTTTTCTTCTTTTTTTCTTGCTTTTTAATGTTTTTTTTTTGTGATTTTTGTTGCTGGGTGAAAATTATATTGACGGGGCTGAAAGTTGAGTTTTGTTGTAGGTATTAATGTGTGTTTTTTATCAGAAGAAGTTCATCTTCTTTAGCCTTTTTTTAACCTTTGAATTTGAATGAAATATTATCTGAAAGTTGAATTTAAATTTCTTTTGAATTGGTTTATGTCACCGCTTAAATTAATTCAAGTTCAAGGCACTAATTTGCATTGATTTCATAATAGGAGAAAGCGAATACTATACATTTATAATAAACATACTTAATAGCTTTGTTTATACTATTTAAATGTATTTTTAAGTGACCATTAACCTTGGATCTGGAATATGTTTAAGCAGAGAAGGAAATATAAGAAATTCCTTAAACTCTAAGAAGAAAGTAAGGATACAAACCATTTTCAAGGGCACTTACCAAACCGAAAACCTTTTCTTAAACAAGAAAAACATAAAAAATAAACACAAATATAAAACACAGTTTCCCTAACTATATATAATCTTTCCTTATGACTGTTTATTTCCTTGCCAAATTCTAAGTAATAGCTAATCCAGTGAAACTTGTAATCTTGTATTTTCCAAAGAATTTCAACGTCTTAGCCGCCCATTGGAAGCCCCACAAAATGTTCCTTATGGTAAAAGCGCCTTTGGGCAACCTGTTAACGTTTTGTATTTCTCCGAAATTTTCTTCGCTTTTCCTCAGCGGAAGCGGCGGAACAAAAACAATGCATACGTCGTTTATCTATGCAGTACAACACACACACACACACCCACGCCCACGTAAAGAAAAACCATTGCCACCCACAAAACGAACCCCCGCCCTTTAACCTTCGTTTGGTGATTTTCTACAAAAGATAACTGCGCTTTTCCTACCGCCAATGCCTGGCAATGCCATTTCTCATCTCTCTAAAATTATAAGACCAGTCATGGAGTATAAGAGTGAGCCAAAGTCTCCAATGGTAAAAAGCAACAGTTCGCTTGCTCTCTCTCTCTGTGGGCGCTCTCTTTTATTTTGGGGTGTGCCGCGGTGGAAAAACGTCAACAACAAGTGTTTTTCCCTCAATTCTACACAAAGAGAGAGAGAGAGAGCGAGCTGGTCTCTTCTATAGAATTCTCTTCTAAATATGAAGATTCTTCGGCTCTCCACTTCGTTTCGGTTCGTTTCTCATTGGCTTCGGCTTTGCCTTCGGCTTACGGCTTCGGCTTCGTTCGTTTTATTTGGGAAAATCAGGCAAGAGAATCTACAAACGAAATCAGTCGGGTTTGCAACTCGGCCGGGAAAAGTCTTCAAGCGTTTGTCGTCGCGCATCTCGTTTTCGTTTTTACTATTGATACGCCGTAGTCGCCGTGGTTTTTCGTCGTCGTCGTCGTTTATTTAACGCGCTGAATTATCAAAAATTCAAGCAACTAGCTAATAAGTGATTTTCTGACCACAGCATCCAACATTGTACAACAATTGTGCCTCCCCCCAAAACAAAAATATTAAAAAAAAATATATAAAAAATATTTATAAATCATCCATAAATAAAATAAAACAAAAAAAGGAAAAAGAATTGCTGGATGGATTGTGCGTGTCGTTTAATTGATTTCAAGGATTGCCAAATGGCAAAAGTAAATTGAAACTGTCGTCGTTGTCGTGGCTCGGGGATTAAAAGTGCAGATTATAACACGCAGAAGGAGAAGAGCTTTCCATCCGGTGTCCTCATACTCGGCTGCTGCTGCTGCTTCTTCTCGCTACTCTGTCATCGTTATTGTGGCCGCAGTGTCACGTCTGGCAAAGAGATTCGGCTTAAAATTAATTGAAACCCCTTGACAAAAAAAAGGGGAAATTAAAAATAAAATACAAACCAAATATAAGAAGGGTGAACAATTTAACAATAGTGAAGTTTTATTAGGCTTGTCCGGCCAAGTAAGCCGGAAAAAAGTGTTTTCTAAATATATATATATTTCTATAACATAATAAACATCTGCAAATATAACTGCTATCGCAGAACCGGGCGCTGGTAAAATGGTGGTTTTAGAGACTACCAGCGCCATTCTGGGCGGACCATATGCCCAAGGCGCTCCCGCCTTGAAAATGGTGCAGAAACGCTACATTGGATTACATCAGTGGCTGGGACCAATTCGCACCAAAGAGCTTAAGGAGCATATTGTAAGTTTTTTTTTTAAGTAACTTTAAAAACATAAAGAAAAAAACCAGCTGTTAAGAGGGGAAATGATTCACTGATTCGGAATGTTTTCTAACTGAAAAACTTATGTTTTGGGAAGAAGATAGCGAGGGCTGTATGTAAAGGAATTTTGTAGAATTTTACTACGATTTGACTTCTTGAATTTTATTTCCTGAAGATAAGGAGTTTGTATCTGTAGGAAATGGTTAGTAGATATATCTTTAAAGCTTAAAGAATGATCCTAAAAACAAAGACAGAAAATAAGGAATATTTTCTGAAAAGAGCAGCTTAGAGAGGAGTTTCCGTATGGGAATTATTAATTGATAAAAACTATAAAGAAATGAAAAGAAATACCAAAACTGACACATCTAGAAAGTAAAGATAAAACTACAAAGAAATATTTAATCAAGAAATAAGAAACTTAACAGAAAAGCAGAAAAACAGCTGACAGAAACTATCAGAAACTATCAGAAAAACTGATAAAGGAAACAGATTAACCAAACAAAAACTCTTTCTAAAAGTCTTAAAATCCCACTTTAGATCTCCAAAATACAAATTCAAATTAGTTTTTCCTAAAATGTAAATAAACACTCCCAAAAAGACCAGTAATTTCCACAATCTTGTAATTGTTTCCGTTGATTGTTTTCCTTTGTTTGTTATTTGTTGTTTGCTAAATTTTCCGCACTGTTTGGATTCCTATTGGCGATTTCGTTTTTCCAATGCTTGATTGATTGATTGGCACATTGATTGATTATTTTTAGTACAGAGCCGAGAAATCCCTTTATTTACACTTTGAATGGCATGCAAGTTTTCCTATTTTTTTTTTTTTTGCATAATGATTTCTGCAAAAAAGGGGATTTCCAAAGAATCTGCGGCCTAATCTTCTGCTGGCCAAGACTAATGAGGCTTAGTGTTAGTAATTTTCTTCCAGTCTATGGATTCTCTAGACTTTTTTGTGGTTGTATTTTTCTATTAGATAACCGCAGAGACCGAGAAAGGTAAGCAAAGAGTTCACTCTTGGCTCTAATTAATGTTGGGGGTGCCTCTGTGTGTGCGTTGGCTGGTAAATTTATGGCCCAGGCTTAAATAGCATATGAATTATGCTTTGGGCCACAGAGCACAAATGTGGAAGGAGTACAGAGTGTGTGGAGGAGAGATAGAGAGAGAGAGAGTGCATTTTCCAATTGAGTGATTTATGCGCTTTGAAAATCCCCTGTAAAGTGGCTAAAACAGTATACTACCAAGGAGGAGGAGTGGGTTGGGGCTTATAGAACATCATGATCATCATCGATGCATAATCACAGTGCACTCTCGCTGTAAACAACAGCATTCGAATGTTTATCTCCATTTTGGCCCCTAAATAATAAATGTTTATAATTTGTTAAGCAATGTGGCTAACTTCCCCCCTTTTCCCATTGCCTGTACATCATCCCCCATATTACGTATTCGACGTGTATGGCGCACTCAGGTTTCCATTTCTCTTTCTGGCATCATCTCCCGCCCGGCCAACAAAACCAACTAAAACTGACTGACTGACTGACGCATATCAAAGTGCATAACCAAGTACTCAGTTATAGGTTATAGCAAGGAGAGGGGGTGGGTAGAAAGGCGGGGTGTTATATGGTTCATATTCAAATGTTACTGGGCTCCTCTCGACTTGGTTACTTGGTGGTGGGGGCCTATAGGCAGAGGGGCAGAGAGTTGCTCCAAATGAGAGATGTCATTGTCAAGTGCCTGTGACACTCTGACGGTAATTAGATGGAAATTTTAGCCAAAGAACACTGGCAAACTCATACACAGGAGTGGTGTGATTTCGTTATGCAAATGAAAATGGATTTTATGGATCCATTGGATTTTGGTTTGCACTCGTCAAGGAAACTAATTGGGTTGCTGTGGCGAGAAGAAATATGAGGACTTCTACTCAAGAATTAGGTTTAAAGTGAGTTAAGATCAGCTTAGAATGTTTACGTTATATACGACTATAACCTCCATTTAGTTCTAAAGTATCACTCTCTCTTGCTCTGACTATTTTCTTGCCCTTCTTGTTCTTTAATTTTCCAACTGCCTGGATAACTTTTCAAATAGATTAACTTCCAGCCAAACTTCTCGACAACTGCAATCTGCTCTGGCTGCTTCTGCTGTTAACTCTTCTCTCATGTCTCCAGTTGACCTGCTTAAAAGGCCCACAGAACCGCATAACCACATTCTGCCTGGGGCAACAGCTGTCGTGGGTTTTCATGCCACCTCGAACCCCAATTTATTCCATTCCTTAAGCCGCAATACCGCTGCCGCTGCCGCCATCAACCCCGTTGGCAGTCAGTGGGTTAACCTCCACAAGTGGCCATGATACTAGCTGCGCTATATAGCATCTATCTATCCGTCTTGTCTTGTCTTGTCGTGTCCGAGAGACTGCTGCAACTTGAAAACTTCACACAAGTTAAACACTGAAAAGTGCTCGAGGCGTACAGAGCAGGAGAGGCTTTTCTTCAAAAGGAAAAACTTATCTAGCTGTTGTTGTTGTTGTTGCTGGCCTTTTCTAAATGTCATTACATCTTCAGTTGTTGTCTCTGTCGCTCTTTTAACTTGGTTTTTCTTACTTTTTTTATTTTAGAGTGCAACTTTGTTGAGCATTTCAGTGCCGCCTTCGCTTACCCCTTTGACTCCTCAAACCTCCTCTCTCTGGGGTACTTCTTCACGGTTCTGCTCAAGTGCATTTGGGTTATGCTTAAAAAAAAAAAGAGAAGATATATAGATATATATGTACTTGTTTAATAGGGGAATTTGTAGGAAGTGAAGAGGCTCAGGCCAGGCGGCTGGCTCTATCATCAATTAAATCACGCAACTTTCTATGAAATTAGCCGAGCTGAGCTCTCAGCTAAATCGAAAAGGCGATCATGACTGAGGATTTCTTCTTTGTGGTTTTTCCTCTATCTCCCTTTCCCTTTGTTTTTCTAGCTTAATCCAGAATTTGCAGTCTTCTGGGGTTTTCAGAGCAAAGGGGATTTTATAGTCTTTTAAGGAGACTTAGAAATATTCTTTTTTAAGGTGGGTTGAAGGTGGGTTGTAGGGAAAACAGCCTTTAAAAATATGGAAGTTAAGAAGATTTTTGGTTATTTTTATTAAGAAATTATTAAAGAAGCTTTACAGTTTCTAAACCTTTCTAAGCTTTCCCTAAAACGTAGAGCATTTGCTATTCTTTATTGGAAAAATTAATCTAGATTGAAAATTCCGATCGTATTTCTTTCATTTGCTCGTTTTTCTCTGCTTGCCTTTGCAAATTGCAATTTCCAAACATAATTTCAATTATGTGTGTGGCATCGTGTATGAGGGCCACTGTATCTATCTTTCGTATGTGTGTGTGTTTGGTACCCCCCTTTAACTTGCAACACCTGTGTTGGCTGTGTAACGTATATATATATATTGCTTTTAGCTTATATTGCAATTTTTCATTTCTTATTTAGCCAGTGCATTCGTGTTCGGTTGCAGCTGCAAGTTCTCTGTTCTGCTCTGCTTTTGCTCTTCTCTTCTCTCTTCTGCACTTTTCCATTCTCATTATTTTACACCCTTCGCAAATTAAAAGTTAATAAAAACTCACAGGTAGCTCTAATTTATTTTTAATATTTATTTTCATGTTTCTCGTACGCAGCGTTTTAAATTACAGCTACTGGGGAAAAAAGAAAAACGAAAAAGAAAAGCACACACAGAGAGAGAGAATGATGGGGAAAACTGTATTTGTTGCTTACCATGCTGGGTGGTTGTTGTAGATTTTTATGCATTTTTAATAAAGTTGGTGAACGAAGGAGTAGCAGAATTTTCCGTTCGTTGTTGGCAGCAGCAGCAGCAACAGCACAGCGGTTAAAATTGCAGCAAATTAGGTGCCATGGATTCTCCATTTCGTTGAGATGTAGGGTGAAAAACTGAGTTTTCCCTTCCCCCGTCCTGCCTCTCACTCATTTCCCTTGATATTTGCGATGTGTGGAAGGAAAACTGCGGCATTAACGACTTTATGTGTGTGTGTGTCTGCCAAGCTATAGCTTGGAAAAACTCAATGTAATGGTTGGAGGTGGGAAAATCGCGAACACGAAAGAGGGGGAAGGGAGAGGGGAAAGATTGTGTGGATAAGTTTGGTTTTGATTCAGTTTACTTAAGTATTTATTTTTTTCGCTTTGGTTTTGGTACGTGGCTTAGTTCAGATTTGGTATGGTTTGGTTTTTCTTTTCGTATTTTCCATTTGCAGGTATGCAGGTGAAAACTGGAGCAAGTTTAAAACGAGGGAAATTTGAAAAAAGATGAACAAGAAATGAAGTGTAATGAAAAGTGCAAAAGAAAAATCTTTAATTATAGACAAATTAAAGAAGAAAAAGCACAGAATTTTCTCTTTACTTTCAGTCCTCCTCCTCCTCCCCAACTATAACTTCATTAAACTGTAGCTTCTGTTCTTTTTTCCGACTTTTCCCCTTAACAACATTGTCATCTTTACGAGCTCCTGAGACTTTGTGAACTAATCCCATCGAATGCAGCTATCAACTGCATTGGGACTCTGCCTTTCCACCTGTGTCCAAGGAGAGCTTCTCTAACTGGCTGCTCTAACTACCCAACCACCCACTTTTCCTGAGAGTTTGGTAATGAACTTAACGCAATCGCCATATCCCAAAGCCACTGCAATCGATGGCAAGTCATTAAATAGTTTTTTTTTTTGGTGGCCGAGGGAATTTTTTAATTAATTTTCTGTCAACGATTGCAGAAAAGTACTCGCAGGAGAGAAGAAAATCTCTCTTTCTTACTTTTCTTTTTTTTTTTTTTTAATATAATTGTGTCCAAGGTTCGGGGTCACGTGTTGCAATTTCGAGTCGAGTGGTTAAGAATAAGAGGAAGAGCAAACAATAAAGTTATTAACAACATGTGTTGTCTGTCGTCGACAAATTTATACCATCATATTTTCCGCATTTTCCACCCTGGAAGAGTTTCATTGGCGACTCGGACA